TAACCTAAACCTAACTATTTAATAACCTAAGCCTAGATATTTAAACTTTACTTTCCTTAAATACTTGTGTTAACTTCAGCACTTGCACAAATATACTAACTCATAGGTAAGCTTGGATAGTTTAGCCTTTTCATTGTATATAGGTTCATGGGTATTGTCACTCGGGCAGTCACAGGCTTGGCCTGTGATTAGGGTTTTATTGTTGTCTGGGGCCACATGATTGTTTTAGTCATGTGGAGTGACTGCTTTAAAACTTGTGCTGGTCAGTCAGCCTATTTCTCCTTTCTGCCAGTGAGCACATTCTCTGCACAAGATCACTGTTCATTTATTACTTTATCTGGAATCTTAGGTTTGGTTATTATGTATTTTAAGCATTGTTATATATATGTAGTAACCAGAGCTCCATATAAAGTGTAATATGTTTTATCTAAAGGGATTTGTAAAGTATACAGAATCTTAAAAGTGCTATAAGTAATATCGTTATCTTGTGTCTATGTACTGCCATGATGTTTATGATTGAATTATGTATGTTTTAGGGCAGATCTGGACTTCCATTTGTCCGAATAAATCCCTCGAACCACTACAAGTACACCCTTGTTTCTTGAGATGACATGGGTACCGCTGTTACATATAGCATTACAAAAAATAGTACAGTCATTGGCTTCATACATATATCGATGCTTTTAATTTTCACTGTTTCGTCGATTTTTCCACTTTAAATACATACGTGACCAAGATATAAGTAACAATGGCTTCAGAACTTTCCTTTTAGAACTTTTCTTTCTTCCAAATTTAAAAGACGCCATTGCTGTTTAGATTGTACTTGTAGGGAGAAGTAGCATCATGTTTCCGCAACGTTCTTGATTAGAATCGAATCTATTGAAACCCTTTGATACTTAGAGCTTGTCAGCATTTCAACAGAAACTCCGAGGTAAATATTTGATATGATGGTTATTACATTATGCCTTAGTTAATGGAAAAAGACATTGACTCCACTGTGAAGGGTTCATAATTTTCGCTAAAGTCTCTTTACAAGATGTGATACCTATGTTACAAGTAGTAACGTTACAAGTAGTAACGTAGGAGTAACGAAGGTATCACCAGTTTCAGTGTCTATTCTAAGGTGCATTACGGTGCCTTTATCTGACGTTATTTAGCAGATATTGAATTAATCTAGTGCAAATATATAACCTGTGAACAAACACAATAAATATACATGTAAAAATTGTGTTATAAAATAATGTATGCATATATCTTACTGTATATCTAGCTAAACATTCAAATGCAGATCTTCAGCATGATAAATTGGCCCCTTCACCCTACTCTTGATTGTTGCAGTCAGTCAGTCAGTCAGTCAGTCAGTCACCCACCCACCCACCCACCAGTGTGGCACACACTGGTTCAGGAATAAGTTTACTGTATCATTCACTTTTTTTGGTATTATATCTCCCCTTTATTCTTTCATAACATGAAACATATTTGTATGTTTATATGTCTCTTAATGATATGTTGTTAAGATTAAAGTCATATCATTTGTAAATGCTCACGTTGGTAAGTATCAGAATAAGTGTTAGAATTACCCCCGTTTTACTATAAGCCAAATTATGTGTACTCATTAAACAACCATTGTTGCAGCTTTCACCACCATCATGGTTGGAGCCAGCTGCTCCAATACCACTCTTACATGTCTGGAGCCAGGCTCCACGACCAATGGCTCCAACATCATCCCTGCACTCACTCATCACTGGCGGCAGGCTGATGAGACAGGTAAGTTTGTTTCTGTCAGTACACACCTGCAGTCTGTGCCAGAAGTCCCCCACCCCAAACTTGGCATCATCTTCAGTATATGTATCCATGTTTACTGTGCCTGAAGTCCCCCACCCCAGCTTGGCATCATCTTCAGTATATGTCTCCATGTTTACTGTGCCAGAAGTCCCCACCCCACCCCAATTGGCATCATCTTCAGTATATGTATCCATGTTTACTGTGCCTGAAGTCCCCCACCCCACCCCAAACTTGGCATCATCTTCAGTATATTTCTCCATGTTTACTGTGCCTGAAGTCCCCACCCCACCCCAAATTGGCATCATCTTCAGTATATGTATCCATGTTTACTGTTGACGTTTTGGCTGATTTAACTGCACCAAACAGAATTTTACTCAGGCTTCACACTTCACATTAGTGGCTTAAGTCACATACTGTGGTTTTGACAGAATCCCCAAAATACCAACTCAGGAGATAGTTTGTCTCTCAGACACAGAACTGAGAATGTGAAATAAGCAATAAAACGCGTCATCCGTATCTGATGAGTTATTATTATGGTTTGGTATTCTTCATGTACAAGAAAACTGAATCAGAGCTCACATTTTACACTGTTGGCACCTCTCAAGCATGCCATGGTTCTGGAATGTGAGAAATAATTTGTTGCAAACAAGTGATCGATGCCCCACTTCTTAATCTTTCATAAAGCATGCTCACCATTGTCGGCTTTTTATTTAATAATATTATACTGACACACAAGCTTTAAAGTGTATGTTGAAATCTAATTTATCATCCAGACTGCACTCAGAATGCCTTAAAACAATAGATGCTGGCACAGACCGTATTGGAATGTGTATTCAGAATATAAATCATTAGAATGAGATACCGTACATTGTTTATGCAAACTCAGTTCAGGGGCAGATACAGCTGTTTTAGAAAGGGGCAAGGGAAGTGTAGTGTAGTGTGTAGTGTGGTGTGGGTGTGGTGTGGTGTGAGTGTGGTGTGGTGTGGTGTGGTGTGGGTGTGGTGTGAGAGCTTGTGGTGTGGTGTGGTGTGGTGTGTGGTGTGGTGTGGTGTGGTGTGGTGTGGTGTGGTGTGGTGTGGTGTGGTGGGGTTTAATGGGTGGGGTGGGGTGGGGTCACTTTTGGGCATTAAAGAAGTCACACATTGTATGGTGGAAGGAACTGGGGTATGTTGTCATATCATGCTCACTGCTCATGGGCAGAAAGAATAACATATATATATACCAAAGCTTATAATAAATGAAGTTATTTATGCGAGCGCTTCTATTTAGACAGTGGTCCTTACCCAGTTCTGGGTCAAGTGTGGCAAGTTTGTTGATCAAGCTGTTATGACAGTCACAGTGTATGAAGGTGTCTTTGATCTTCCTGAACTGGTTATAATTTTTAATTACAATCAAAACATTACACCACTATCAAAACATTACACCACCATGAAAACATTACACCACTATGAAAACATGACAGCACCACCACATGAAAACATTACACCACTATGAAAACAAAAGCAGAAGCACATTCATGATGAATCCATAACACACTCATTTATGTTCAAAGGACTGTAACAACACTTGTAACCTGAAAACACTCATTTATGTTCAAAGGATTGTAACAACACTTGTAACCTGAAATCATTTATGTTCAAAGGATTGTAACAACACTTGTAACCTGAAATCTTTGTTGTTAGCTACATCCAAATTTCAATTTGCGCTATTCAAATATCCAAGTTTTGATTTCATGTCAAGCACATGAAGTTAAGTTTTTGAAGAAAACAAATGATATTATTCTTACCAAGTTTACACCTGTTCTGATCAGATTGTATGGTTAAATGCAAGTTTACACCTGTTTGCTGATTAGATTGTATGGTTAAATACAAGGTGCTGAAGCCACCTTAGCGTTACCACTGTCGTAAGTCTGTATTAATGTATGGGAGTTACAATCACCTCAGTGCTAAGATCATTTATACAATGGCACCCAGGTCTACGCGCATTAATATCATGAAACGCTTTTAATCTAGGAGTCAACATAAGTCTATAAGAGTCATAAATTTCTTTGATATACAGAAAGTATATCATGCCTTCAACAACCAACATGCCCATGTATGAACTAAGCAACCAAGTTCCTCACAGTGTTTCTTTATGTCGAGGCTAATGACGTTAGCTTCCTGTTAAACCCTCAACAGTTATTGGGGGTTGGACCAGCCTGCACCGCACAAACCAGTGATGTATTTTCTGTACATCAACATCCTATGCTGTCAACATGGGGTCACTTGCAACCAACCAGGTCCAGTATTTCTTTGTCTTGCACCAACCAGGTCCCCACTGACCAGTCCAGTATTTCTTTGTCTTACAACCAGCCTTTAACCGAGAAAGCCCTGCACAGAGTAATTCAATCATGGCATGGTAAATCTTGTAACCAGTTGATTGTTGATTGTAATTAACCAAGTCAACTGGCTTGACCTCTGAATCCATTAACTTGCCTTGTATGATGAACATGGAAGTAAAGGTGTCATCCTTTAGGACAGAGCTTGTTTTGTAATGCACTGTATGCACATTGCTAACTTCAGGGTTCAACCCAGGAAGATACCTCACTCCCACTTGCACACATATTTGTGAATTTGTTCAGTGAAATATTAAATGCTATATCAGGGTTATAACTCGCCCCAGCATGATCATAAACCATGGTAATACACTGCCAAGTAAATGGATCAATTAACACACTCATTGACTTGGTTGTCATTGAAAGGTGTCATTGTAGGAGGTGTCATCGTAAATCCTGATGTCATTGTACAGGTGTGGGTCCATTATCATGATGTGTTTACCAGGACTGATATCAGATGAAATTGTTTACAGATGGCTGATATATAGATGAAATGTTGCTGATATAGAGATGAAATGTTGCTGATATAGAGATGACATATATATAGATGAAATGTGGCTGATATAGAGATGAAATGTTGCTGATGTATAGATGAAATGTTGCTGATATATAGATGAAATGTTGCTGATTGGGTTGTCAAACAAGATGAAATGTTATAATACGCATGCACAAAGAAATGATTATATAGATGCTTTTTATATAGTAAATGTTTGAATATGGTAATGACTGACATAATGAGGTAACAGTGCCTGTTTGTGTTTTCAGCCCAGGACTGCCAAAGAAATGATACATGCAAAATGGCAGTGAGTTGATGAAGATGCGGTCCAACAGTGCGTTTGTGTGCCACCCGCTTCTTCTCACTCAGTAATGACATGGCAGAGATCCGATGGCAGCCTACTTCAAACCACCGCGCACAAAGCAAGTAAGTTGCATTATGTTGTCAATTCCATTCTTATCTTCATCAAAATTTTTCCTGCTTATCTACCATCTTAGCCTTGCTCATCACACTCAACACACTCACCCTCTTTCACACAAACACCATACAAATGACACAATACACGTTTTCAAGAAACAGACTAAGACTTTTAACCTTCTTGCAACCCTTCCATCTTACAGATTTCTGGAGTAGTTTATTAATATTTGCTGTGACCATCACAAATATGCCCTGACCACACGACGTCGTCATCGGTCCGTCGGTGGCTACTATGTACAGTCAGCAAAAGTCGACAGTGGCTAATGCATGTACATTGTATCTAGCGGCCAGCTTCGCGGTCTGCCAGCTTGTTTGTTGTAACAATGTTCCATAAAGTTATGCAACGTTGTTACATATTTATTTCCATAAAACAAGAAAGCGTTATTTCGGTGAAATCAATTCTGGATATGAGAGCATATCTTTAGCAAATCTAGCACATAAGCTTTACCAGAAATAAATAAACAATCCAGATGTTGGAAATATACTACAGGTTTGCTGTAGCCTACAGTTTCAACATTATGTAACAGCCAGATTACATAAATTTGTAATTAGCTTTGTTTGTTTACAGAGAGGGATGCTGACTAAAGAGAAAATATTGCCACAGGTCGGGTAATGCTTCTCGATTAATCCTCTGTGTGTGTGTGTGTGTGTGTGTGTGTGTGTGCGTGTGCGTCGCGTCGCGTCGCGTCGCGTCGCGTGGGAAGATGAAAAGAATAAAATAGATTTTTAACTCTGTACAAGATTTTGTTCTTTGTGGTGGACTGTGATTCTGTGTGTTTGGTTTGTAAAGTGGCATGCTTGTGCGTTTTTGTACTTTGAAGTTTTTGCATTTTGATCTCAATCTTTGTGCTGTCAATATTTTGACATAATGTATTTCTTCTGGCATCACGAGTTTTGATATTGAATTATGTCGTCTTTTAGGCCAGAACAAAATCGTTGTCGATTTATCCACTCGAAAACATCTGATTGCTGTTATTGCTAAAGCATCCCTTAACCGTTGTCATTCTGATATTTTTTCCCAAGCCCTGTATGTCAAGTTTACGAAATGTAAATAATTATGAAAACTAGCCCTGTATGGCTTTGGAGACAGTGTCCATATTGTGTATCTACAGCTGCAACATGTCAGTCCATATAGAAGCACAGGTCTGCAGCAGTAATGACACAGGATTCACAATTTATCACGGCCTCAGTCTCAGTGTTGTCAACTGAACGGCCACAGGTTCGCATTATGACAAAAAGAAGATACTTGAAGCAGATAACTATTAAACCTATCCTTATGAACTGGTATAGGCAAATATCGTATTGGAATCAAAAAGGAAAACTCCACAAGCATTTGGTGCTGGAGAAAGTCTGAAGTGCACGTTTTTAAGAACAATGATGCTCAATAACACGTTTATCTTCCTTGGGTCAATTTGTGTCCGGTACTGTCATTATTGCGGAACAATTTTATTGTTGAGGGGATTAAGCGATCCCGTTAGGGTTAGGGGATTACCGATCCCCGGTAGCGTTAGGGTTAGGGGGATTAAGCGATGACATGAGTGATAACTGAAATGGGTATCCGATGACCGATGGATCACAAAAGTAATTAGTCGAGTGGGTATCTCAATGATCAGTTTCTACGAATTACGGTTGTTATAGATACTGGGGCTAGTCATTTCAAGGTGTAATCAAATGACATCAACAGCGGTACACTTAACCGTAAAATGTAAATGAAGCAAAACACCTGATGGCCCCTGCCTGTTACGTGTTTTTCTTGCCCAACAATGAAGATTTCAAACACCCTAAAACTCTCTTTTCTCTCTCTCTCTCTCTCTCTCTCTCTCTCTCTCTCTCTTTCTCATTCCTCCTCACTGCATTAAGTTTAGCCAAGTGAAGGGGAGCACAGTTGTTCCCCGTTGGACTACAAATGCATCCAGTGAACATGAATAGTCAACATTGTCCGCTCTAGAAACACGATCATTATTTCGGCAAGGAATACGTCACATCGTCAATTTAATTTCATGTAGCAGGTACCATTGTTTTTACTCAAGTTATGGTTACACAGATCCATGTTCGTCCATACTCGAGTGCCACAAAGGTCAAATGTTTGTTTGTTAGCATTTTTACAGTTCAGTTATTTTCCCGACTGACCATGTTGAACTAAGTAATTCCATCATTAATAACTCCCTCGCCCCGAAATGAAAATATACATACATGGCAGTTATCCATCCCTTAATAAGTACTGCCGATCTGCAATTTGTACACATCATGGGCTGCACTAGGATAGTGTTTCAAATCTTTACACCCAAATAAACGAATCGTAAAACAGCGCCTTACCCACAATCGATACATGATGATACTGACAATGTTAGTAAGTTTGCACCAATGTATGTTTTATCTTTCGGAAAGTTCACATATATTTTGTATTCAAATAAATGACGAGAAGTCGATCAAGAACATCGTCCGTAATTTAATAGTTAATAATCTTAAAACTATCTTTGCATATGTCTCTGTGCTTGAAATATTCCTGTGAATGGTTGTTTATTAGTATTACTTATTGCTTGATATGTGAAACAACACAGGCATTAGACGGATACAGTGTAGCTGTGCGAGCTGCCCGCCACCGCTCTACCTGCTATAGCGGTACATACCCTGGGAAAAACACAGGCATTAGACGGGATACGGTGTAGCTGTGCGAGCTGCCCGCCACCGCTCTACCTGCTATAGCAGTACATACCCTGGGAAAAACACAGGCATTAGACGGGATACGGTGTAGCTGTGCGAGCTGCCCGCCACCGCTCAACCTGTTTTCGCAGTACATACCCTGGGAAACAACACAGACATTAGACGGGATACGGTGTAGCTGTGCGAGCTGCCCGCCACCGCTCAACCTGTTTTCGCAGTACATACCCTGGGAAACAACACAGACATTAGACGGGATACGGTGTTGGCTGTGCGAGCTGCCCGCCACCGCTCTACCTGCTATAGCAGTACATACCCTGGGAAACAACACAGGCATTAGACGGGATACGGTGTAGCTGTGCGAGCTGCCCGCCACCGCTCTACCTGCTATAGCAGTACATACCCTGGGAAACAATCTAAGCAACTTCACATTGACTTGTAATGTTGCTATGCACTCGAATGCATTTTGAAATAGAAAATATTTTGAATGTATATAATTGTTGCGTTCGTGTTCACTAGTTTACAACACACCAAACATTTATGATTCTTTTGCAGATTATTTTCTTACTCTCGTCTGCATGGAATGAATTTAGTTTTACACAAAATACCCAGCCACAGAGTACTTCTGAATTATCAAGTGAGGGAGGAATGGTTGATAATTTAACAGACATAAAACGTCGTCAAAAGTGGACAATGTTTCTGCAAAGGTTGGCTGAAATTTGTGCACATATAACACACCACTGTTTTACATCTCAGGACCAAGGCCCGTGAATTCAAGTACAGAGGTAGTGACGTCATCATCGCCCGGTCTGACGTCACAGGTTTCCATCCGTCTGCTGTCCGTCCAAGCTGTCAAGACGAAGACTTGACCATAAAGCTTGGTTCTCGAAATTTTAATAAGACTAAAATATTTTCTCGGTTCTCGTGTTGAGGAAGGAAGGAAGGAAGGAAGGATTGGATGGGTGAATGGAGTCGAAACGTATATCATATCGTTCATAGTTGAGGTTTAGTTTTGTGATTGACATGTAGACGTATATGTACATACTATTGCAATTGTAAAGCTCTGTGAGGGTGGGGTGGGGTGGGGTGAACATCCACAAAGCAAAATTGATGTTGCACTGTAGGAGGGCTGGTAGCCTAGCTTGTGGTTGAAGCGTTCGCTCTTCACGCTGAATGCCCTGGTTCGATTGTAAAGCATGGTTAAAGTCATTTCTGGCGTTCCCCGTCGTGCCATTGCTAGAATATTGCTAACAACACCTGTTGTTCCTACACAAAATCCCCGAGTTTTCCAACCGTTCCCCACCTCAGTGCCACTCTGCAATGTCACCTCTGCGGTAACTACCACAAGCAACATTCTCCCAGTGGTCGAAAATGTTTAATAAAACTGTAAGTTCTGTATTTGAGGGTAGAGCCACAATAAATGATGATACGCCACATGTTTTCGCCATTCACCACAAACGCCAGCATGACTAGAAAATTGTGTAGTAGACTGACGTACACGGAAGCGCGTAGAACTCCATCCTGAACATCCTGGGTTCGTGACGCTCAAGACATGTTCTTGGAAATATTGCTTTATAGACAGACTAATCCACAGTGAAACATACTCCTATACCTTGATATAAACAACATGATGAGTACGGTTCACGTAAAAGTAATGCCGCGAAAATCATCTCGTACTCTGCATCCAGGCTTGAAACCACATCGTCAACATAGGTGAACGGCTGGGCTCTTTTTCAGATATTTGTAGGCCGCTTCAGTTAGTTAGCACTGTCTCTCTTAACCTGGAGGTTTTCAGAGGAGGAAATAAGAGACTACCAACCAGGTTAGGGCCTGGCCCTCACACGTTATTTAGACCAAAAGGATGATAACAATATATGGATGAACAGCTTCATTATTACAGTGGGAGCCACGTTTCAGTGTAGCTTCTAACACAAGCAAGTATCAGAACCTGGACCGAACGTTTGTTATATTTATATCCTTCCTTAGTGCCCCAACATGTAAATGCCTCTCAAAGACGTTTGTTTAGACGCCACGCCACGCCACCCTACACCCCACCCCACGCCACGCCACCCCCACCCACCCCACCCCACCCCCACCCCACCCCAATACACAACGCAAACACAAACACAGGATATGCCACCCAAAATATATGCCGTGAACTGGTACTTTTCAGTTATTTGTGGGTCGATTCTGTCGGTCGGTCGGTCGGTCCGTCCGTCCGTCCGTTCTCTATACACAAAACGTCAAGCTATGACTAATAGAAAGAGCTCACGGAAAACATGAATACATTTTGCCAATATGAAGAAAAAACACCTTTCGGAATTTCAGTTGATTAATCATGCTCAAGTGGCTATATAATACCACATGTTTCAACTCATCGCACATTTGTGCAACATTATTCAGACCTAAACAGCCGTACTGCCTCTCCACCCACTACATATGATATGAGGTTTTATTCAACCCCTCCATTAATACAGTGTAGGAGCACCTCCAACAATGTTTTTAACTTAACTAAGCATCTCCATGGGCAGATGAAAAGAAAATGTATTTTTAGCATACCAAAATTCTTCTTTTTAAAATATATAAAAATAAAGAAAATAAATAATGAAATATAGAAGAAACATCACATCAATCACATACAGTTAAATGCTGATACTGAATCGCGGGAGTTATACAAGCTTTGAAACAAACAAAAAAACACTGCAAAAAAAACAATATGCACAAAACAATAGTTTCCACCACAATCCTCTCCCAACCAATGGGATACACATACCAACGTCCAAGTTTTGTGTATGATGAGTAAACAATTAGCAAACAAGGTTGAGCTTGGAGTCTTAACACACACACACCACGACCAACACCAGCAACACACACTTGCCCTTCAGTACTCATAATTAACAGATAAAGCCTCCGTGCCTGTAACACTGTGTGAATTCTGTACAACAATGTACAACACTACACAGGGCCACACGGCCTCTATCATTCATACAATGTAGAAAGAGCGTGTTTCAAATGTTGTACATTGCGCTGTTTTGTTGTGTTACTCCGCACTCGGCAATATTCCAGCTGTATGGCGGCGGTCTGTTGGTAGTCGAGTCTGTACCATACAGACAATCCAGTGATCAACAACATGAACATCGATCTCCGCTAGTGGGAGAAGATGACGTGTCAACCGCCCAGATTGTGGTTCACATTAGGACTATAGATAGTTTAGCTGAAGTAGAGTGAATCTCTCTCCTAGATAACTTCATGAGCATGTGTTGATGTGCTGGTACTAACACCAACACACCGGAAAAAGCATTTTAATCTGTTATAACTGTATCATTTGAAACTGAGAGTAATGTCACTCATATCCCGCGACGGGTGGTCAGATCGGTTCCCAACTGCGTAGATCGATGTTCATGCTGCTCATCACTGTATTGTCTGGTCCAGAGTAGATTATTTACAGACCGCTGCCATATAGCTCAACTCATTCATATCCCACGGACTCTGCTTACAATTTATGCAGCCTAACCAGTCTACAGCCTATGTACGTGGTTGTGGTCTGAGCATCTTTTACCCGCTTTGAGGGAGGGAGGGGGGGCGAGAGGAGCACAGACAGTCAGCTTTCCAAGCAGTTGATTACTGGATTGTCTGGTCCAGACCGCCACCCTATAGTCGGGATGTTGCTGAGTGCGGCGTTAAACAACAAACAACAACAACAACAACACCCTCAACAACAAACCACAACATCATCATCAACATCATCATTAACAACATCATCAATCCAAGCCCATGTGATATGAGCGTTTTTTCCCTACACTGCATTTATGATATGTAGAAAGAACGTGTTTTCAAGCCGGTATTGTGGGTTGATATACTTTACCGAAAATGCTCTGTTTGTCCGGTCCAAATTAGGGTGGTGGGTGTAAGGGTGAAGGAGCAATGGAAATTATTCATTTGCCACACGTGATTATTCTCGGCAGAAACAGACGCCAACTTGGTTCCGTAAACGGCAGTGTTGGAGATATTTGCCTGGCGCTTCAGTCACTTTAAGCAAGCGCGTGGGTTTCAGGATAGCATGTACGGCTCTTTTCCACACATTTGTGTGGCGCTTCAATCAGTTTGTGAGGCAACCAAAGCACCTGCAACGTAGTGATGCCGTCGTTCCCAGGGGTAAACAAATATACACCAACCTATCACACTATCCCCGAAGTCTCAAATCCACCCCTACATAATTTTGTTTGTTTGCCTACTTGCGACCAGCATGTATTACTAGGGGTCTGTCGGCCCTGAATCCCAACGGACATCGAGCATCTGAAGTTTAGAGACAATAGCGTCTCGCTTGTTGATCAGAAGTCAACAGTGAGTGAGTGAGTGCGTGAGTGAAAGGTGAGTGCGTGCGTGCGTGCGTGCGAAATTCATGTTGAGTCAATATTTTTTTGTATGAACTGTTGTACACTACTGACATTTCTGTTTGGATGTTGTTTAACGCCGTACTCCGGGATATTCCAGCTATATGGCAATGTTCTGGTCTATAAATAATCAAGTCTGCGACCACACAATCCAGTGATCAACAGCATGGACATTAATCTACGCAACTGGATGACATGAGTCAACCAGGTCAGCGAGCCTGACCACCCTGGCTGGCTGGCTGGCTGGCTGGCTGGTGTATTTCATATTTACCATTGTAGTAGGAGGAGGCTTTTTCTTCTTCTTTTCTGTTTTTGTTTTTTTGGGGAGGAGAGGCACGATGGCATACGTTATATCATCAACATGCATATTCTGTGCTTGTATTTAATCAACTACAAAACAATTTATTTGGGGCAGGGTATCAATACACCATCAAGATACATTATTATCAATACGATTATCACACACAACATTCAGCTGCATGTCCAGTCATTCTGTGAATGAAACAGGTTGTGTAATGTGTCCAACACTGTTCAACATTACACAGAGCAAAACGACCATTCAGCCTCTCCAAACCATGCGATATGGGATTTATTCACCCCTACCAATTAGTACATGTTTACAATTTGATATGCTGTCGCAGCATGTTCACTGTCTTTACTGTAGAACACTCACTTTCAGCGTCGTGGGCATGTCAACTGTAAAACTTGACTTTTAACACCCGTGATTTTCACTCAAACATAACGATGTTACGCTATGGAAACAATGTGAGCGTGGAAGCCATAATTTCTTTTATAGTACAAACAGTTACCTGGGAAATGGCAAAGCTCGTATAAATATAACATAGAATAGTTTAAAAAATATTATTTACATTCAAGCATAATGTTTGCTCTGTGGTATTGTTTTTTTAATCCCTAGTATAGGGAGTCTTTGTGGTTCAGACGTTTTTGTGCATTTTCAAAACGTGGAATAATAGTCAGTGTGGTAGTCAGTGTGACGTCACAAACGTGGCACTGCATACATAACGGTAAGGGCTCTTGATGTACGCTACGGTCCATGATAGCGGGATCCACAGTGAGGTTATATGATCTATGTAATATCCCAGGGGAGGAAAGCGATCCTGTATACACAAGCAAGTATGTATACTTTGACTGCGTGAATGTGTAGCCACCATTCATTCTTTCAATAGGTATACATTGGATGTCTATTAATAGCAAGGGTGGTTTCCAGACAATTCACACCAACCTCAAAACCCACGATGCAGGTAGTCTTGGGGCCTGTGGAACCACGCCATCCTGGATATTGGACCCGCAGTCCGTAGGCACCGATCGCTTTTGTTCCGGTGCGCCTCCAAGAGGAGCAAAACCCCATTGTCAGTAAGAACTCTCTTTTAAGGAACTACTTAAAGGTACATGACCCCCACCGAAACATGACCTTTCCCCCTTAGCCAATCCGAACCCTCCCTTTTTTCCCGCCTACCACCAGGCGCTTTGCTCCCCTTTCCTGCCTTTCGCCTTCATTACTCGGGCTCGTCTATTTTTCACAGGCTTTCGCTATCTCTTTTTCGGCTTTGTTTTTAAACGCAGCATTCTTTACAAATATTCTTAGATTGCTTTTTTACCTTTTTCCAAAAATTTATTACATTTTCTTCATCTCAAACACGGGTTGTTTTTTTTCACTCTAAAAAAGGTCAAGTTGAAAAATCACCTGTTGAATGTATGTGTGTTGTTTTGATGTTTCTATGTTTTAAAAGTGTTTTATAGTTCTTTCAAACTTCCCAGAATATTGTACACACACTGCTGCAGTTTTACACCATGCATTGCTTCAGTCCCCTACAAAATACTGCAGGCTGACAATATACCTTCACAACTCATGTTTTCTGTGAAACAGAATTATGCATACTTTATAAACTTTATTTTCTTTATATAAATCAATATTTATACAATATCGTATCATATTCCCATTCATTTTCTGCTCGTTTGCACTTTTCACGTACACCACAGGAAGAATCGCTGTGGTTAACATGCATGCATCCACAGGCATCCGGAACCCGGAAGCAGCATGCAGCAAGCACCAATCACAGGCCAGTTGACAATGTTTACGTCCATCAGCTGGTGATGGCGGCGAACACCTCTGACCAAGGGGCAGGGCTTGTAGTCAGTTTGCAACGCAATCGCTGTTCAGGGGCGAGTGTGACATGCGTCTGGAGGTAAGTGCTTCAATGTGTTTCACTCGACATTTTATAGTTATGGCGCGGAGTTCACTGACATTCGCTCAAACGGGAACAGCATGTTCCAAGCATTGTCATGTGTTGGACAGCCGGTTGCAGCCACTCTTTCATGGAAGACACTGTCACCTGTTTTCGTGCCTCTGTGCCAAAATGTTTTCGTGGCTAGGAAGCAGGAAGGCTGGGGACTTTTTGTATTCTGTTGTGTATAATTACTGAAGCAATCACAGCGCCTTTCACAGCGTAACCCAAGAATCCGATATATGGTCTCACATTCCAACAACGTCGTTTCTTACTTTCAAGTTGACGAGTTCAACGTTATTTTACGAGCGCTTCTTCTGGTTTTGGTTTAATGTCAGCTTTGTGTTTTTAGGAGTCTACTGATTAATTTGCTCCGACTTATATTCCAGAAGTAGTTTGTGCCACAAAGCATCGAGGGTGAATTGTGTCTGGTAGAATACAATTATGTCGTGTTTATAAAGGCGGATAAAACCCCTTATGGGTATATTTTCTTTTTTCTAAAACCTGCATGGCGTAAACATTTCTAAAAGGTAAATGTATATGAATGAATAATGTAATGCTGGATCTTACAAGACAATTTGTTTTCTTAAATTCTGGAATATTCCGTAATGTTAGACCATACTCAATAGCATTCTTTGCATTTGTTGTCTGTTATTGCACCTTCCACCACCAGTAATGTATCTCTGTTTCATCTGCCAGCTATATGAAGTGTACCCAGGAGTGAGTAGAAAAACGCACTAATCAAGTTACTTCTTTTATTCCACAGCACCCCAGACCTGGTGTTGAACCGATGCCGCACAGCCTAGTACCCTGGACACTGAACCGATGCCGCAGCACAGCCTAGTACCCTGGACACTGGCTCCTTATCCCCATGAAACAGTTCACTGTGTCACCAATCGACACCTATGTATGATAAATGCTTCACTTAACAGCCAGTAATGTACTTTGTATTAGTCACTCTGTGTTCCCAGAACACTGTAACCTTGGTAACAGTTCTGTCATTATGTCAACATCATGGAACCCTGAAATTTATCACATTGACAGTACATGTTCACATCTAAATTTCACAGAAAACATAATCAATGGTTTTGGTTACCATGGTTTCAGAGCATTAATATATCTAGAGCAATGTGACATCATCTTTGTTTATTTGGCAGGTAGTTAGTTGTGCTCATTGTGTTGGATATTGTTGCAGACGCTGACTGAGATGACAGTGCCTCCACTGACACAGCCATTGAGAGGGAAGATTGTGCAGGGTATGTCATTTTATACCTCCTCTCACTGTGTCCAATAGTATTAGACATTTGTTGACAGTATTTCCTGCATTGTGCATACCCTCTCCTACTGTATGTTACAAGGGATGCAGTTTGCCGTGCTCAGCATATAATCACAACCTGATCCAGGCTGCTGGTTGAGGCTCTCTCAGCACAGGTATTCCAGGGCAGGGCATAGCAGGGCAGGGCAGGGCAGGGCAGGGCAGGGGCAGGGCAGGGCAGGGCAGGGCAGGGCAGGGCAGGGCAGGGCAGGGCAGGGCAGGGCAGGGCAGGGCAGGGCAGGGCAGGGCAGGGCAGGGCAGGGCAGGGCAGGGCAGGGCAGGGCAGGGCAGGGTGTTGTATGAGGTGTCAAAGCTAAGCAGCTGGACCTGAGGTTGACGATGCTGCATGGTGTGTGTCTATGTCATCAGTTCCGGTGTGTAGCTTGTTGAGGATCATATTTACACCTCCTTGTAGAGGGATGTTGGTGAAGAGGTCGATGACGTCATAGCTGACCATGATGTCTGCGACACAAGCGTCTGCTAGTAGGTTAACCAATTCGCTGATGTGGAAAGTTCCATATTTGTTTAAGGGGCTAAGCAGCTGGAAAGGATCTGGGTAGTTTTATGGAAAACAGATCCTCTGTAGCAGACAAGTATTCTAGCTTTTGGTGGGTGCTTGTTTATCTTGATTGTGGCCGTATCTCCAGCGTTTGCTGCTGGATGAAGGTGGCATCATTTCTCTTTCTTCCCTGTGAAGGTCTTTCAGTGTCTTCTTGTGTTGAGGTGATAGTTTGGCAGTGGGGTATTTCAGGATGGTCAGGTGGGTGGTGTTGTCGGAGAGGGTCTTGTTGGTGGTGTTGTCGGAGAGGGTGTTGTGGGGTGGTGTTATCGGAGAGGGGTCCAGAGGGTGTTGTTGCCGAGTTTGAGGGAAACCTGGGGAGTTCCTGACTACATGTTTTTGTCAGCTTTTGATGGTAATATGTTTAGTTTATCTGAAGTTAGCCGATTGCTTGTGTCTCTTGGATGATGAGGGTGTTGGCGTGGTTTGGTTTGGGGGGCTTTTCTTGGTAGTTACAATAATCATTCACCCGATGTAGCAGTAACAGTATACTCTGGAACGTCGTGTTCCTCATTATAAAGAAGTTCTCATTCATACACTTTTACCTTTCGTGTGTATTACTTATAAATGCCATTCAAAGGGCTTGGGTAAGATACCCCTAACTGTATCCTTAGCCTTTGGATCCCCTTTCCAATCCACCACCCCTTTCCGATCCTTAGGGTTAGTTATGTCAGGGCCAGGGTAGGTTACCCCCTAACTGTATCCTTAGCCCTTGGATCCCCTTTCCAATCCAACACCCCTTTCCGATCCTTAGGGTTAGTTATGTCAGGGCCAGGGTAGAGTTCCACCAACTGTATCCTTAGCCCTTGGATCCCCTTTCCAATCCAACACCCCTTTCCGATCCTTAGGGTTAGTTATGTCAGGGCCAGGGTAGGTTTCCACCAACTGTATCCTTAGCCCTTGATCCCCTTTCCAATCCGACACCCCTTTCCGATCCTTAGGGTTAGTTATGTCCAGGGCCAGGTAGGTTACCCCTAACTGTATCCTTAGCCTTTGGATCCCCTTTCCAATCCAACACCCTTTCCGATCCTTAGGGTTAGTTATGTCAGGGCCAGGGTAGGTTTCCACCAACTGTATCCTTAGCCCTTGGATCCCCTTCCAATCCAACACCCCTTTCCGATCCTTAGGGTTAGTTATGTCAGGGCCAGGGTAGGTTTCCACCAACTGTATTTACACAGAGGAAACGTGTCAGAACATAGAGCAAGGTATTGTGAGACCTGTTTATCTAATCATACAACAGTTATGTTTTTCCTGCAATGAAGGAAGAAATCAGATATTGTGAGGTGGAATGGGTTTCTCTTTATGTTTCCATACTCAGATGTTTCATCAAGTTTCTATTTTCGTCAGAACCAGTTGTCTGTGTTGCCACTGACATTATGTTATTTTCAAGCTCTGGAGCTTTTACAGGCAACTAACAACAAAATTCTCTCCACTGCCAGAAGAAATAGGATAATTAGAAAAGCTCATGTCCCTGTTAAGTAAAAGAGATGTGGCATATGTTTGGAAATATTACAACCTACATGCTTTCATTTGGAGCTACAGTACATTCACTAATTTGAAATTTGAGTTGCCTCCCTTACATTATGTTACAAGTTTTTCTTCCAATATTTATGTATGTCATATTTAAATTGTGTTACCAAATTTCACCGATTAACCCCAATTCAAGTTTTGTGTAAGATATTACAGTGTCATTTACATTTTCATATTTTTTTAATTAATAAATCTTGACAGAAGTTACAGTATTGTATATGTATTGATTTGATTTCATCTTCCAATGTCTTTGTGGTATTAATAGCACTAACCTTTGAATGTTCGTAACAATTCATGTCTATTCTTGTGCACATGATGTCGCTGAATTCCTCAACTAAGTCGGTGTCAAAGTCAGCAACCTTCACAATGCAATTACATCCTTGTGTTTTGAAAACTGTAAAAAGCTTACGAAGGTAGTTAGCCTTCCAGCTGAAAATGTATATTTGCCCAGCAGAAATATTACTTGGCTGGACTTGAGGCTAGGCTGCGGGCTGTTAACTTTTAAATTTGTCCAACTAACTTTTTGAAATTGTTTCTATTTTCATTTGCTATGATTACTAAAGATGCTCACAGTATTGTTTTAAGTGAATTTAAGAAATACCTTCCGTGTCATTCCAGAAATGGACCTCCAGAGAAGATTCACCCAGGTAGCTTATCATAAACCAAACGTAAAACATATGGAGTTCCCCATGGTGTAAGTACACACTCAAGATGTTAAATAATGTTTTGCAGTGCATTGTAACCCATATTTCTATCATTTAATGTAAACTTGGTACAAATTCCTATCAGACTCTTTTCAGAGTTCATGCCATGTGCTTTTCAAACTGAATGAAGCATTCATAAAATCTCTTTCTGCTAACATTGGCTAGGAAAAAGTGTATTTTGGCTCATGTGTTTAAAACTTTAGATTGTAATATGTTTTGGCAATATAAGTAATTATCTGTTTTCTTATTGTAGCAATTTACCGATTGATGTTGACTGATATTCTCTCAGCAACTGTCAGCACGGAATAAACAGCTTACAGCACACCTCCTACCTGGGCTCCTTTACTCTCTCCCCTGACTGTCTCTCAGCCTCCTGGCTAATTGCTCCATGCTTGATATAATCAATTAAAGATCATTACATATACCGTATTAGTAGAAATAATTGATGTAAAGTACACAAATTAAAGAAAGTTTGGCAGATAGTACTATGTGAGAATCTTTAGCACTGTATATTCTTCAGTGCACACATATCACACAGCTGTATGTGGAGAGCTAAGGGAGACAACTCTCAAATTTACGAACGCTTCATCTACTTTTGGTTATGGGAAACGTAATCATATAATAATTTTTGTTCATGATATACATCGTGACTCGAATTTGAATGTATCTGCAGTTGAATACGAAGCGCACTTTGTTACTTCATGTGACTGTATAACAAGTTGAGAAACAAGTTTTTACCAAGTATTTGTACAAGTTATGGCAGATATACCATGTCAATCTTTAGCACTGTATTTTCTGTAGTGCACACCAATTAGACAGCTGTATGTGGACAGCTAAGGGAGACAACTCTCAAATTTACGAACGCTTCATTTAGTTTTGGTGAAGGGAATTGACTCTAATATGTACGCTATATGTATACATGTACTCTGGAGGGATTTGATACTAAATAAAGAATGTTGAATCTTGAACATCTACAGTATCTACAGCTTATCAAGAGTTCTGATGACCTATCAGAGGCCCTTGTGATGATAAATGTTTTCAAGATATACCAGTTGTGTAAGAAGTAAGTCTTTGGTGAGAGGGACAACACATTTCCTTATTAAGAAGTCAAGAAAGTGTATTAATGTCCCTTGTATATATAGACGCTCCCAACACTGAACCTTAAAGGGAGTGTGCTGGTCTACCATGATTCATCTATTTCATTTGTTAGAACAAGCGTTTGTACGTCATGTAGCCAGTCACAAAATGGTGAGCAGAGCGTATGCAAAACAGTTCGCACAAGCAGAGGAAATGAGATTTGTGTCGGAGAGAGTAATGGTGAACATTCATTCCTTAATACACTGGGCACTTTTACTAAACATGCATATCTCTCTTCAGACATTCGGGACAGTTTGTCAAAAGTAAAACCAAGTGTGATCTGGTTCACTGAGAATACAACATGGGGGAAGGCTGGACTTTACTGGATTCAATGCAATGCATGTATTGTGACTAGTGACAACGGCAGGGCACTACACACTTACCATTTCGTAAACACCTGATGTGTTTACTATTTTATAGTAATTCATAAACACATGCTCACACAATCAACTGTGCCTACAGCAGAGGTTTCATATTAACCCTAACATGCATTTGTCATTGAAGAATTAATTCTGACTTCCATTCTGTACATCCACGATAAAGCTGGAATAAAACACTCACGTTCATTACTGTAAATTTGTCTTGGCACACGGACCAGTTACATTGTAAGTAAGAGAGTCTCATTGTTCTGTGTAGAGCTTTGTGGAGTGGGAAGGTCCACGCCCACGTATCCTGGTAGCCAAGGTGGGCCAGGATGGCCACGATCGGGGGAGGAAGGTGATTGCCACAGGCTTTGCTGATCTGAGCTTTGATGCTAACATAGGGCCAATTTTCGCAGTCACTTGGCCCAGTTGTCTAAGTGACTGTTCACTCCTGTGAAATCCCTCGCGAAGATCCAACACATGCATGCTGTCAGGGGTAACTGACGTGATAGGGTTTGTCAGACGCGCTGACTTGGTTCACACAAATGATCGTATCCCAATTGCGTACATCGATGCTCACGTTGTGAATCACTGGATTATCTGCTGCACAATCAATTATTTTCATGCCGCCGTAATATAGCTGAAATATTGCTGAGTGGGGCGTAAACCTAAACTTACTGACTGCCTCACTCACTCACTCACTCACTGTCATACCATATGGTTTGTTTGTTTGTTTGTTTGTTTGTTTGTTTGGTAGTTTGTCTTTTTAACTCCGCAGTTAGCAATATTTTTTTCACAAAACGGCGGTCTCAGCTGAAACCGAGATCAAACAAAATGCTTTGTTGAAAAATACATTTGTGTGCCACAACACATTCTCAGGAAAGGAATTAAATTGTTAAGGGTTTGAATTTGTGACAGAACATGTACAGAGCCCAACGCCAGCTCCCTCATCGGTGAAGGGCGGTGGGGTAGCCTAGTGGTTAAAGCGTTCGCTCGTCACGCCAAAGACCTGGCTTCAATTCCCCACATGGGTACAATGTGTGAAGCCCATTTCTGGTGTGCGCCGCCGTGATATTGCTGGAAGATTGCTAAAAGCAGCGTAAAACAAAAGCTCACTCACTCACTCACTCACCTCACTCACTCACTCACTCACTCACTCACTCACTCACTCACTCACTCCTCACTCACTCCACTCACTCCACCACTCCTCACTCACTCACTCACTCACTCCACTCACTCACTCACTCACTCACTCACTCACTCACTCACTCACTCACTCACTCACTCACTCACTCACTCACTCCCACTCACTCACTCACTCACTCACTCACTCACTCACTCACTCACTCACTCACTCACTCACTCACTCACTCACTCACTCACTCACTCACTCACTCACTCACTCACACTCACTCACTCACTCACTCACTCACTCACTCACTCACTCACTCACTCACTCATAACATCAGAAGTCTTTTCTTCGTCCGAATTTACCTCTCCGAAAGAGAGTCGAGTTTGTCGTGCTCGTGGTTCAAGTTGTTTTGCCGGCGGCCCACGGTTTAGTTCCACGTCCCCACACCTTTGAGGTAGGCGCGGTATATCGAGCTTGAGATAGAAATGTCGCAGTCCATTTAAGATTTTGCGAATGGCAAGTTGGCGTACTGACCTCGAAGACCATCGTTCGAGTCACGAGTTTGTGTTCCACAGTACGTCACTAAACACAAAGCCATAGAAATCTTCATATATCGCACGTAATAATGTCCCACGAATTCTCAAAACTGAAAACCCGTGAAGATCCGGGTTAGTGAGTGAGTAGATCGGTGCTAATGATATTGATCACTGGATTAACACCGCCGCCATATAGCAGGAATATTGTTGAGTGCGGCGTAAAACTAAACCCACTCACTCAGTTTCTGGATCGCCAAGGCATCGTGCTCCATGCCTACATCGACGATTGTATACAAGTTCAAAGAGATCGGCAGATTCTCCTTCTGTGTAGGCCAAACAACAAAAGATTTTACGACACTTCCATTTCCACCGAGTGTGAACAAGCCCGGCTTCCTTTGTTTGAGTTATGGTCGAAGGGAGGTAACTCTACCGGCCTTGGTAGGCAAAGTTTGTATTGTTTTGTCTTGGATTTTGAAGAATAGAACTTAGACACAAACGACAACTTTACTCCTATAGAGACTTTTTGTGAGCTAAACTCTGACAGTTTCATAAACAACTTTTTTATTTTTGACAAAATTATGCAATTTTTCTAGAGTTGGTCTGTTGTTTTAATGCAGTCCGCGTTGGTTTGATTATTTTATGTCTATTTGTTTTGCGTTAATTGGCAATTCATCGGTATCATTTTGTCACAAACGGACTGTAAAATCTCATAATTGATGATTGGGTCATTACAACCGATCAGTCATCGAAAATAAATGGATAGCGTCATTTCTGACATTTTCCTGGTTATTTTGGTAATGCACAAAAAAATGAAGAAATAAACATGTAGTTCTTTGAGGTTTTTGCAAATTGCATCTTTAAAGGACGAGTAGTATGCTAGGAACATATCTTTCTCGGAGTCTGTAAGATAAATTCAATCTTTACTTGGAACAAGCTCATAGTGCTTATGAACTGAAAAGGACACAAATAAACCAACCTTGTGAAAATTTTTGTCAATGCAAACAAGTGTTCCAGAATTGTTTGTGTTCGATGAGAAAAACATGATCGATTGCTTGGTCGTTTAGTCACTGCGACCAATCTTCGATTATTGCAATTAATCGGACCACCACTAATTAATACCCCCACTCAGACACATTATACTGACTCCGAGCCGACCAGTCCTTATTGTACCCATTAATGCCGAGCGCCAGACAGGCACCAACAAGTACCAAATTTTAACGTCTTTTGGTATGACGCGGTCGGGGATCGAACCCACGACCTTCCACTCTCCGGACAGACGCTCTAACCACTACACCATGGAGGCAGTCTAAAATTAAGGAAGGATAACATTAACAATACATGGATGAACCACATCTATATTTAAGTGAGAGCAATGTTTCGGTGTAGGTTTAAGATTGCTTTTGAACAGTATTCAAATTAAAATACAGTGTCAACTTAATGCGAGAAGAAATCAAGTCTGGACTAGACAATCCAGTGATGAACAGCATGAGCATCGATCTACGCAATTGGGATACCATGACATATGTCAGCAGGTCACCCAGCCTGACCACTCGATCCCGTTAGTCGCCTCTTACGACAGGCAGGGGTTACTGAAGATCAATTCTAACCCGTATCTTCAATGGTGGAAAGCCCAAAGTAAAGAAGTTCTCAGATGTTTACTACTTATGTGGGTAGAGAGTTCCTCCTGTTCCCCATCCCAAATAATATGTATAAATATTCTAGAATGATAAACAAAACTTAACACAACAATTACTAGAGAACTCACAAAATGATTAAAATTCCAAAATTTGTTAAGTTAGGGCTAGGTTTAGGGTTAGGTTTA